GGCGAACGACAGCCTTATTACTACAATTGTACACTTTATTCTCTGAAGGTAGCATGATTTACGGATAAGCACTCCATGGGTGTGTCACATGTCACAGTAGTTCCATAACCCTGTGCGTGTGGCTCAGTTTTCCTTTCATCCCAACTCCGAGCTGTCCAGCAGCGCAGCAGTGGGGCAGCGCGGGCCAGTGAAGTCTCATCTATATTGTAGTATAAATATATATTTTATATTAACAAAAGAAGGCCATTAAGCCAACACAGTAGCACAGGATCCAATTAAGGATGTCACTGGCAGGTGGTACTCAATGCTGCTGACTGTGTGTGTGTGTGTGTGTGTGTGTGTGTGTGTGTGTGTGTGTAGGTACATTAATGTGTTTCATAAAACAGGAGTGGAGTGTGACAGAATTATGACACAAATTCAATGGCAGTTGATCTGAATTGATACTAGCAGATTTGGTGTGTGTGAGTATGCTGGTCGCTGTGTGTGTGTGGTAATGCTGGTCGCTGTGTGTGTGTGTGTGTATGCTTGGTCGCTGGGTGTTTGGCAGCCTGCGGCACTATGAGCATCCATGTGGATTTATACTGCATATGGCATAAGTTTGTTTGGTTTAAGTCAGAGCAGGGACTCCATTGCTTCTTACGCAGAGGTGTTACGTCGTTGGTAAGTTTATGTGGTTGGTAGCCAAGACCCGTTAGCCCAAACACACACCACTCCTCACCCCTGGCGCGCCTCGCCTGGAAAGTGGACGAGATGAGGCGGTGGTGACACAAAGCTGCAGTCAAGTGGGACAGTTTCCAGTAGCCTTCAGAGAATATACAGGAAGTCAAAGAAATGTTTACAACCATGTTCGAATATATAAATAAACTTTATTATCATCTTGTCAACAGATTAAACCTTCATTGCTCAACATGAGACATGAAACGGCTGCAATCTAGAGTTAAATATTAAAATCACAGAAAATTTGGAAAACATGCTGTTTGTTTGTCAAAACTAAGAGCCAATCAGCTCTTTGATCCGCTGACAGCCAGGCGTTTCCCATCATGCCCTTGGTCTTGCAGTCGATGGAGAGCCACTGTGGCCGCCTAGATCTCCTGAAGTTAGCGTTACCCATGTGTGCACAATGTCAGAGCAAGTCTGCATGGAGTCGGACACAAATAACCAGCATGCATTGTGCGCCCATCAATTCAATCACCCTCACGCACTAACATAAACGTATTTTTCCATCAAATTTATCAGCTTGCAGTAAAATTTAAGAGAATGGCACCAGTCTGTAAATGCATGTACATAACTGACAACAAACACATCTGTCTTTGTTTGTCTAACAGGGATCCTTCATGGAGCAGGACTGTGGCAGCTTCCTAAACAACTGTACCTGCCCACAGAGGAGAAGTCGGCCCAGGCCCCAAACAGCCACCTTAAATATGTCTGGTATGACCCCGGAGCCATTCCTTCCTCCCGCAGGCTCCTCGTTTACTTTTGTCCAGCTATTCGTTAGAAGTGGGACATGTGTTCTCGCCCTTTGCTTTTCTTGGACTCTCTCCAGGATCTGCTGTTCTTTCTCTCCCCCTTACCTCTCATCATTTTTGCTGTCTTGTTTTTCAAAAAAAAAAACCTTGGAGGGTTCATTACCCACTTTCCACCAAAAAAAAAGAGTCTGGAAAGATGTTTGACCTTGATCCCACACATGGTAGCCAGCCTGCCCTCCCTTGTTCTCATCGAGCCATGTTAAAAGGTTTTTATAAGCACTCTGCCAAATCCGCCAGCTAGAAATTGTTCTTGTTGTTTAACTGTGAGTCTATCCAGAGATGTTTCCCAGTGCCATCAGATGGAGGAGGAACACCTTCCTTTGTGTGCTGCTAGAATGGTTTGGAGGTTGAGAGACTCTGTTTACAAAGGTCGCATATTGCGCCAAGCAGAAGGTTACCTATGGGTCCTGCGTTGTAAAAATATGGCTCGAAGTGCGGGCTGCATCGACAGCACTGCATCAGATCTGAGTGTTTCAAAGATTCCAGTGGAACACTTAATATTATCATAAAAATTTATAAGAGGCCTCCGTCTCCAGAAGGTTATCAGCTGCAGTTATGGCATTTTATAATGAATTTTCCACAATTTAGTTCGGTTTCCATGGCTATCAAACATTTACTTCTAATAGCAGTCAGTGTTGACTGTCAACTGCCATGAGGAAAAAGGCCAAATTTTAGATACAATATTTCTTTAGGACATTCCACTTTAGTTGTCATCACCCGAGGGGTTAGCAGTATGTTGTACTAATGTTAGAGGAAGATGAAAATATATGGACGCTGAGATAATGCTCCCCTGTGGTTTTATTCATGCTGCATTGCAGTCAAACTGGTTTCCATCAGGCGTCCATCAATTATTTTTACTACTACAGGTAGCCCAGACACTTGAGGGGTCAGGCTGTTTGAGCAGAATAACACTGAACAGAACCAAAGTGTCCCTACTGTGGCTGCTTCAACATCTGCTCTGCAATTTGAACACCTGCCTTCCAAAGTAAACACACTGTCAGAGAAACATGACTGAAGACTTCAGTTCCTGCGCCCACATTCTCTATCGAACCAGTGCGTAATACGAACCACACAGAAAACACGCAGAAATGTAAATTACAGGATGTATGGAGACACGTATGGTCACTTGTTTGTGTTGAGGTTAGTTGGGCACTTTGTGTGGTCTTGTGTTTATAGGAGATGTGTGTGTGTGTGTGTATGTATGTATATCTGAAGTTAGGAACCATTATGTGTATACACGTAATCCATGAACACAGGAGAAGCAATGTGATTGTTGGCTATCGTACATATGTTGATTATGAAATAATAATAATAATTTTATGAAATAAAATTACAAAGGCCTTATTTTTAATATTTGACTATGTAAAATATTCTTTTAAATAAATATTGTGTGTCTGTGTGTGTCGTAACTTGTTTATAACGTACGTCCCTTTCTTTTTGCACCACAGGAAGATGCTCCAGTCTCTGGGGCGGCCAGAGCTCCACATGGCCCTGGAGGTGACCATTGTGAGTGGTTCAGGGCAGGAGCATGCAGGCTGTCTGCTCCTCACCTCCGAGGTGCTGTTTGTGGTCAGCCTCAGTGAGGACACCCAGCAGCAGGCCTTCCCCATCACAGAGGTAACAGTTAGTAGTCAGGAAGTAAAAGGAAAAAACAGCTCCTGTAACACTCAAATGAACCTTTCTGTAGCTGTGTTGCAGAACAGTGAAGTGAATGTGAAACTTGGTGTCTTCTGTAGGTGGAGTGTCAGCAGGAACCAGGACAGCAGGGCCAGCTCACCCTCACCTTACAGCAACAGACGGTAACAAATGACGCAGAGGTGAGACTGAAAGGAGCTCTACGGGGGTCACATGGTGCAAAATAATGAAAGAGGAATTACAGTGTTTATTTTATGCACTGCATTTACAGGCTGATTGTCAGTATGTGTCATTTTTATTGTGAAGGCCGAGAGGAAGGCAGCACCTGAGTCTGATTTCAGACTGCAATGCATGTTGACTGAGCACTCCTTGCTTTAGCAGTATTTGTGCACATTTCCACAGTAATGTGTGTAACCATGTCACCAAAAAAGGGCCAAGGCAGTGCTTTTAGACAGTACAGGTAGACCTATTGCTGTTCTCATAACTTTTTTTTCGTGTTTGTGCAGCAGAATCCTGAATACCAAACAACCACACAACTCATGACCTCTGGGTGACGCTGTAATAATGAAGTTGACCTTTTTGCAGTTATCTCAAACAGCTTTGCCTACAGTCAAAATTCCTTCATTTCAAGTCATCTGCATCTGGTCTTTTCCTCACTGTCAAATTTTCAGACTTTTCACAACCTAATTGGAAAGTGTACAGATTTCCTATCATTCCCAATTGTTGCTTCAATAATAAGCAACCATGAACCGACAGTAACCTATGACCTCGGCTGATCACATAAAATTATTCTTACTAATTCTACCTATGTTGAAGATGAATTTAGCTCCTGTAGTGTTTGGTTGGCATGACAACATACTTTCACAAAACACTCCATCATGTGTCCTTGATGGCACATGATTGGACACCACCTGCAGCAGATTTAACTTCATTAGGACCAGTGTGCTGGTAATCATCCGCCTGTCCTCCCTCAGGGTGACGGTGTCCGTGAGCGTCTGTCAGAGCAGCAGTATCGACGGCTGGTGGATTACGTGATGCGAGCCTCCCAGTTTCTCTCCCCCTCCGCTGCCTCTCTCCAGCTGCAGCCCCCAGTGACACTGGCCGAGCCACCGCCCTCTGTCACCAAGTCTTACCGCTACCTGGTGGATCCCGCCTTCGCCAAGGTGTTTGTCAGCAAGTTCACCATGGTGAAGAATAAAGCCTTACGCATTGGATTCCACTAACACACGAAATAGATGAGAAGTTCCAGTTTAAATTAAGCCTTAAACTATGAATACACTTTATTTTGGCTTTGAAAAGATAACTACCCATTTATGCAATGCTGTTGAAGTAAGTCCACGTTGTCTATGCCTTAGGGATGAAGTTGTCTTTGAAAGATATTTTTTACTGCTACAAACTAATCACATAGCCACAGAGAGAATTAGAGACAGTTTTAATCATAGAAACACGTGTAAGTTCTGACATTTCAATGGGTACATACTGTAATGAACACTAAAACAAATAGTTGTCAACTTAAACCTTCTAGGGCCAACAGTGTGTTCTCTTTCAACTTGAAATCAGGGCTCATTCAGTCATAGTGAAACCTCAGTGTTGCAGATAGAAATGCACAGCTAACACTCAAATCTGCTGCATTTCTATCAAAACAGCCTGTAATGTTTCACTCTGCAGAGTAAGCTCATGGTGTTTACATTCTCCATGTAGTAACTGTCTCATGCCAATGTTAAGTGCAATATTATATACATGTTGATGGATGCTAGAGATACAAGCTGTCAACCAAAATGTTTTTATAGATGATGTAACATACTCGTTTGACAATAACACTGTTCTTTGTAACTTGTCGATGCCAACCATGTTGTTTTTGTTGCCTTTTATATTGTTGTACCAGTGAGCTCTAAGTCTAATGCCTTTAATGTATGTAAATGGATAATATATTAATAGACATTTTAATAAAAAGATTAAAATTTACTATATGTATTACTATCATTGTGTACTAAGTTTGCAGTGGGAAACTGTATATTAACTACATAATGAATATAAACTCGTAGACAGTAAAATGGATGTTTGTCACACAGGGTTTAAGAAAGTATTCTTACATCATACGTAAACCCAGCCTCAAACTTCTACCTCGTTGACCAGATATCAGTAGCAGCTCTGCTCTCGGTTTTCAGTGCTCCGATAACGCCGTCAGTCATCCTCATCTGTTTGTGCTGCATGAAGTCACTTCATGTTGCAGGCTCTCACACCCCCTGCAGTAAAACAATATAGTCACTGATGTTAGAGAGACAAAGTAACTAGAAACTTTGTGTGTTTACATCTTATTTCACTCACTGTTGCACTGTTTACTCTCCATCCTGGAGGAGCGACGTGCAGGCTGCTGCCGGCTGGGTTTACTGCCTGCTGACCTCACAGTGCAGTCAGAGGAGGAGTCTGGAGAATGACAGTGTCTCAACATATTAATGTTTTCACAGAGAATATCTACTGTACAACTTTGTGGACCATATCTTTGTTTTTGTCATACACAAACTTTTTTGATTTTTATCACATTTCTGTCTCTGAGCAACACAGAGGTACTAATGCCTGCTTTTAAAACTAGGAGGCTAGACTATAGTAACACTCTCCTTTCTGGTCTACCAAAGAATGCAATAAACCAGCTTCAATGAATTGAGAGAGCACACATTACGCCTGTTCTTACACCTGTACCTGTTTGTTTTTAAAGCACAAAATGGCTTTGTGCTAGACTACTCTGAGCACCCCTCAGATGGTTAGCTGTTCCATTGTGCTCCAACCATAGGAGCTGAAAATATAAATATTTTTAAATGTAAATTAAAAACTTTATGTAGTGATTTATAAGTTTGTAATTAACAAATAATCGATACAAGTGTATCATTTATTTATTATAATTAAGTTATTTTGTGTAGTATTTCAGAATACATTTTTCTATTGCTATCTTATTATCTTAACTACTCCTCTTTTTTTGTTAGTTTAGATATATTTAAGGTGAGACATTTGCTGAGAATTACAGGGTAAGATCACTTGTTGTTTTGGCATGCATTGGTCTCTAAATGTTATAGCAATCTGTTTTGTAAAAGCACCTTAAATTGCAGTTTATTTGTTTCAAAGGTTTTTCAGTTGATTGATTGATACGTGTCCGCTGAGCTCGTCTCTCCCATGCAGGAATCAGATGATCTCCATCTATGTTTCTGACAGTATTTCTCCTCTATAGCATTCCATTAAAACACAATTTGCACTATGCTTCAGTTCCATTTGTCCTCATTCACTGTGGGCTGTTACTAAATCCTGCGTTAGCATCGCGCCTCATTTACACATCCACGCAATGTGGGCTTCTCCTGCACAGAACATTGACACTTAATGGACAGGCAGAAGTGGCTGTTTTGGCCATAGTTCTACATAATGAGACAGATTTGAAATGTGGAGGGGGTCAGTTTGACAGTGCTTTGGCTTCGCCTGCCAGGTAATATCACAGCCTTGGACATTTAGCTTGGCTTTTACCGTGGGAACAGCTAAATGTCCTTTCGGTGTTATGGTTTCCTGCATTTAGTCTGTCTAGTAGCAGCGAGTAGTCAAAAGTGCTGGATGTGGGAGTTTTACTGAGCCCTGGGAGACTAGGGTAGGAGTGTGTGTGTGTGTACCTGAGGTTGTGGAGAACGAGGCTTCCAGCTGACTCTGTCTCCTCAGCAGCACCTCCTCTCTCTTCAGAGCTGCCATGTACTTGGAGTAGGACCACGACAACTGAGGGAACATTTCCAGAAATCCAGTCAAATCTAACATGATTAGAAAAACGGTTCAATTAGAGGATCGAGTTTCTCTTTTATAGGCTGCGGTTGGAACTGATGAGGCCTTGTTTGGACTTCATGCAATAATTGAGTTTATGTTCATCACTGCAGTTCCTATTTTAATACATTATGCTCTTAGATAGTCATCAAAGGAAATCATTTAAATTGGTTTGGCTCCCTTTATGTGATACATTTTACACAAACATCTTCAGCTCTACATCCATGTTTCCCCATTACGAACATCAGACTGCTCCTCACCGGCTGCGTAGGAGTCAGCAGCACTCTGCTCTGTGTCCTCGACTGCTTTTTTCCACTTCTTTGCTCTTGTTCTTCCTTTACCTCATCTTCATCATCTGTCTCTTCCTCCTCCCTAAAACTGGACTCTGGCCTCTCCACATCGTCCTGTACAAAAGAGGTCAGACTGAATAGTTAGTTTTCACCACTTACCCATGATCCTTTATTCCTTCAGTACTGACTTTTTCCTTACCTGAGCTCTCCTCCTCTCGTCTTTTTCCTCCTCCTTTCTCCTCTGTCTCCGCACTCTGGCTGTGTGTTTCACTCGTTTCTCCTTCAGTAGAGGAAGGAGCTGCTCCTCTTGGATGCTGCTGCTCAGCTCTTGAAACTCAGGCCAAAACTTCAGCAATTCACTGAACACAGACATCTGCATAGATAGAGACAAAGCACACACATGTAGCCAGCATACTGGACGTAATATAGTCCACACACACACACACACACACACACACACAGAGAGACTACCTGTGCCTCTCTAAAGATGTAAGGGCCCAGCTCTTGGCGTTTCTCCACAATGTGCTGGGCCTGTTCAGGAGGGATGTCTATCTGCAGGGCGGGGGGCATGGAGGAGTCGATGAAACAGTTAATGATGGTGGAGATCTTCTGCTGGATGGTGGCTTCGTCACTGTGAGAATGACACAGGTCCTGCATACAGGAAGATAATAAATAAATGTGTAGTAGGAACTATTTCTAAGCTTCCACTCCTGCTGAAATGTTTGTAATATCACTGGAATTGAAGGGTGTATTCCAGATATGAAAAGGGGCTTTTTACCTTGAGATAAGACAGACAAACAGGGGTTAAAGAACATATTTTCTCAATCATTTTCTCATTATAAGCAATAGGATCTTACATGGACACACCATTTTTTGTTATTCCACATAAGAGATTTCTGTATTTGTGTTTTTTTCTGCACTCTTCTCACTGTTTGGAAGTGGGCAGGGTTTTCTTAGAAAAAGGTGACACCACGTACTCCTATGTACCAGTCAGGATTTAGCGACATTTCAGTCAAAATCTTGTGTGGTTGTGTGCTTTCCAGGCCACTGTCATATCTGATAAAATCAGTCCTGATACAGCAGATAAGCTGAGTTTAAAAAGTGGTAAATATATATATATATTTGTTTACTAAGAGTTTAAGAAAACTTTAACTTTGTTGTCTTATTCAGTCATGAATATGTAATGTCATAGATACATACTTCAGATAAGATTATTAATCCTGAAGTCATTTCTTTACAGTAACATAAGAATAAAGTGTATAAGAAGTAAATGCTAACACTAGTGCTTAATAGAATAACAATAATACACGTAGTAAAATAAGTCAACTAATATAAACTAAAATAAAGTAAAGTAGTATGGCCAATGAGATATAGAAAGTAACAAAAAGTATTATTGCACATGATATTGAAAAACTAAAATTGAGAACTGAAACCAAGTTTTCAGGGGGGTTAAGGTTAAGTGTAAAGATATCAACAGTGAACAGCAGATTGTAATACCATCACAATGTGTCTTACTCTTAGAGATCCTGTGTCCAACTGGAAGTCTTAAAGAGGTAGAAGGAGGAGATGACTTTTTATGGGTTTTAATGTGGATCATCAGAGCATTTTTATATATGATTTAATACATGTGTGGAGGGCATCTTTAACTCCTGGACAACATCTTACTTCACTAAAAACTCCACTCTGTATGTGCACTGGAGGTTTTAAGTTTACAAAAACATACGTACTGGACTAGGATTGGCTTCCAAACTAGTTGTGATGCCACAGAAACTTGTGTTAAAGTGAGATTTAAGTTTCTCCTTCAACAGATGAATGTGGAAAAACGACACAGTTTATAAATGGAGGGGGACTTAGAGTATTTCATATATTTCTTTCCATAATCAATAGTGGAATGGCATACAACAAAGAACTTGTTGCAGGTACACATTGTAACCCACTGGCACATCAATCTCTTTTACCTTATATCTCTGCACCTCCAGCCAGAAGAGTACATCATTTTCTAGGAAGTCTCCCTTCAGAGAAACAAAGTGCTGAAACTGTGTACAAGTGACAGGGTTGAGTAGGATCCGTCGAAACAGCAGGATCTCTTTGGAGGAACTCATCCACAAGCCCTCGGCCTGCAGGGACAGAGGAGTGTTGGGCTTTTAAGAACACTGCTAGTTTAAGTTTAGTTTAAGAGTAAAAAATTCCTTAAGGGATAAATAAAATACACATAATAACCTACTTGTGTGCAAACATTAGAACAAAACATTTGTAGCAGCAGAAGATACAGTACAGTGTGCTCCTGAACAACAGCAGAAAATATGATGTGTGACCTCTGAGCCACAGTTGTAGCTCACAGAAAACTGAGATAATGATACTCCTTTATTCAGAAAACCCTCTCTTTGCCAATGATGAGATAATGATCATAAAGATGAGAGTCACAATCATGTATAAAAACTCCTTCCTGTAATCATCCTGCTTAAAATGTTCATGTTTTATATCTGTGCTCTGCTGTGGAGCTGAGATGAGAGGAGGGGAACGGAGCTGTATGGAAAACACTCCAAACACTATTAAAGGAAGGTTAGTAATGCTGATGCTTTAATCTTATTTATCCTGGATCCAATTTGGGAAAACTAACCACAAGGCCAAAATGGTGTTTGACAAAGCCAGTGCTTGAAGCCAAGTCATGAACTAAATCACACATGCTTTCAGGCCAGGAAATGCCTTATTTCTCTCCATTCAAAATATCCAGCTTCCCCAGAGGGTTTCTCCCTACCTTCCCGGCTTCTCTCCTCGTTCTGCGTCGACGGTAGACGTGCTGTGAGAGCCTGTCTGCTGCTTGGGGCTACCACACACAGAAACACACAGAGAGAGAGAGAGAGGTCAACAGTCAGAAACTGAGTAAACTAGGTTTAACAGAGACACTGAACACCTCTCGAACCTCTCTGCTCTGCACTCTGCTGCTCTTTGTCACTGGCAGTAACTAAAGCTCTCCGCCGCCTTTTCCCTTTAACCTTTCCTCAGTATTTATTTCCTCTGATCTTATTCCTCCAGTCTCCTCATAGAGAGGACTTTACCTCTCTGATATCCTCTTTGTCTCCCACCCCCAGCCTCTTCCGTCATCCTCTTCACCTCTTCCTCTACTCATCTCCTCCTCCAGCATGTAATGCTAAACTACATCTACCTCTCATTACTTAATGAGAGGATCCGTGTGACCAAACATCGTAAACTTGATAACATAATGAGGCAGAGCAGCGGAATCTGCGGTTTATGTGTTACCACCTGATGAGGCAACCTGAGAGAGCGACGGGACGGTGACAGTGTTTAGTGGTTTCTCACAGAGCCACTAATGTGCGTCTGACTTCTTATCTCTCTCCGCTCTCAAGGCCATTATACAGCAGGTATCGAATGCTGTTTCAGTATGCCAAGTACAATCCATACAAGTATTAGGGTGTTACAGTAATTACATTATCGTATCATTATCATACATCGTATGATATATAAATGATATGTAATCACAGCTTGTCACAAAATAAAAAAATATTTAAGAATGTCAAATTTTAGCCAACATGGAATACATCAAAACCTCAAGGTCATTGTTTTTAATCGTCAAATAATTTGAATGCTTTTTCAAACTGAAGTGACGGCAGCAAAAGTTGAACTGTTTTCAAATGTAGGTTGAACAGTTTTGTGTTTAGCCTTTATCTGATCTACACATGTAGCCACCAACCAGACAGCCTTGAAGATGGATACATATCACTAAGTTTAAAAAACACTGACCTCTGGAAACAGCACTTTCATGTCTGGTT